AATCGGCGCACAAGCACAGAGATCCGCATGCTGTAGGCTATTACATAAATGTGATCTCGACTTCTTATGCTGCGCTCACAACATTTGTCATTGAAATACCGCCACAGGTAGTTAGTAGATCTGTGTAAAAAAAAAAAGGCCTGCCGCCACAGCTGGAAAAATCCTAGAGGAAACACTGTTTGTATTAATTTCTCCATAACATTCATCAGCCAACCTGCACACTAGATAATGACATCAGGCATCGAAGATCTCATATCAGACCATTAATCTCATCAAAAACAGAGCTCAAGGGTTGAATCAGATAGATGACACATCAACAAAATGATTCTAAAAACCCACTCTTTGTCCATATACAAAAAGCCGCACTTAGTAATTAACATCAATTTCCTCTTGCAGTGAACATGCATTTGCCGCTGATGGGTTTCATCCAGTCTTGAAGATCCAACTGCAACCTCTCCATTAGGAATTAAAAGCCTCTGGTTGTTGACTTCTTCACTGTGTGTGTGTGTGTGTGTACATTTATGTGGTTAACAGGGACACAAAGTTTTCTAATGACATGGGTATGACTTGGTTGTGCTCTATTAAGGTGGTTTACAAGGATAAACTTGAAATGCTTAAAAATCCTACTTAGCGAGAATTTTTGACATTCAGATTTTGCCACAGGTTTTTCTGTGAGGGTTTAAGGGTACACTCAAATGTTTACTGTTTGTTGACAACTTATTTAAAATGGGCGGAAACAACACAATTGTCGAGTTTTTTTGGGGGGAACTTGATTGTTTTATGTTTGGTTAACTTCAATTTGTAAAAACTAAAAAGTTAACTTATTCGTCAACACTAATCGATTGTGTGGAACCAAGCATTTTTTTACATTGTAGGGCAGGGGTGGCCAACCCTGTTCCTGGAGAGCCACCTTCCTGCAGATTTCAGTTGCTAACCATATCAAACCCACCTGAACCAATTAATTAGGACCTGAACACCACGTGATAATTACAGGCAGGTGTGTTTGATATGGGTTGCAACTGAAATCTGCAGGAAGGTGGCTCTCCAGGAGCAGGGTTGGCCACCCCTGGTGTAGGGCCTAGAATTGTCAAAAATATCAAACTGAAAATGATAAAAATCTTGCTTTTGGTTCGTGTCAATACTAGGGCTGCACAGTATATCATTTCAGCATCGATATGGCAATGAGTTCATTCGCAATAGTCACATCGCGAATATACGCAATATTAAGTCTGGATTAAAATGTATCATTTCGCAAGTGTTTTTTGAGGCCTGTGACTGTGTGAGGGTTTTAAAAGCATGTGCCGTTTGCAGTGGTGTAAAGTGACCAATTACAAATACTGAAATTATTGTAATTGAGTAGTTTTTAATTGTACTTCACTAAATATTTTTTAAAAAGTGTACTTTTACTCTCCCTTGAGTACATTTTTAGTGCTGTATCGGTACTTTTACTTCACTACTTTATTTTTTCTTGTCTATGAGGATTAGAAAGTTCAGTCCTGTGATTCCTGTCCAATAAAATCGCCTATAGAAGGTAAATCGCATCATCATGAACTACCTCAGGACATGGGCGATTTATAATTGCAGCAAACTATTTGGAAGCATTAAAAGTGTCCAAGAAGATGTCCAATATCTTACATGCTTTAATCCAGAGACTGTTCAGATGCATGTCACTGATGAGAAGAAGATTGATGTTTACTGTATGATGACCGAAATAAAAAACCCAGCAGGCACAAGACATCAACATGACTTCAAATTGACATTGTACCCTAACGTCATGTGGACATTGCATTTTGTTTGAGTATGAAAATCATGTTGATGTCAGAACTCAACGTCAGGCCAACATCCAACCTAAAACCAACCAAATATCAACGTAGACCTAATGATGTTACAGTTTGATGTTGTGTGGAGGTTACCACAATTTCTATCAGATGTTAGATTTTGGTTGCCATACCTGCCGAATAAATGCCAGTATTTGACGTCAATATGACGTTGGTTTAAGATACTGGCTCAACGTTGGATTTTGGTCACTTTCTATCAACCTAAAATCAACCAAATATCAATGTCATTTGATGTCATTATTGGAGGTCAAAATAATTTTGTCCTTAAATGCCAGTTAGACATTGAATTTTGGTTACCTGACATCACAACCTAAATCTAACCTAATATTAATGTCTTATGACATTGTGTGCCTGCTGGACAATAACTAAATGCACTACAGAATGTTACGTTTACACACATCCACAAATTGCATGTAAATGCATCAGCTTTTTACAGCACAACACATATACTTTTACTCTACCTACACTACATTTTAGGCAAGTAATGGTACTTTCACTTGAGGAATATTTTTTCAGTACTAGTTCCACCATTGACCATTTGTAACTTTGAAAAATTAATAATAATTAATTGTATTGAATTGTTTATAAAAAATAAAGACTATGCAGCATTCTTTTACATTTGATTATTCATTTACTGGACACCCGAATACATTGACACTTTTTGAGAAAAAAAAAAACGCTTTTTTAATGTACATTTTTTTTCTTTATTGAATTTATCTACGCTTGAAGATTGCTTATTATATTTTATGCACTCCCCAACAGAAACATCCCAATCAATATAAAATTATCAGTTCTTTCCAAACAGTTATTCAACCCATCTAGTGAAATTGTGTTCATATCGCAATGTATATCGCAGAATACATTTTTTTTTTCAATATCATGCAGCCCTAATTGATACTGGCTTTGCTCTCTCGCACAGCACTCTCTCTTCTCATCAGAAGAGATTAATAATTAATAATAATATTAAGATTTGAACACTTTTGTTTTAATCGGAATCTAAGATTAATTGCTAATTAGTTTTTTATTAGAATTTTTTTTTATTAGCACTTCTGAGTTTTTATTTAAAACAAGCAAATATCTGCCAGTGGGGGAAGTGAAATAATCTTGTTTCTGCTTTGAAATGTAGAAACGGGACAAGAAATTGTTTTTTGCATAAATTTCATATAAATTCAGTGATTAAATACAATTCTGTGGCTCCTGGTCAACTATAATTCAGACTCAACATTGCAGATCTTTGCGATGTGACTATTGTGGATGTGCACATTGCGATTTCGATGCTGAAACGAAATATTGTGCAGCCCTACTTTTAATGTGCAGCACATTAATTAAATTTAAAAAATTTGAATCTAAAAATATCAATATTCGATTCAATTTTGGACACAATGGAAAAACGATATCGAAAATGGTATTGAATATTGATATTTTTCAAGATATCGTATCGATGTTGGAAATTCCAGTATCATGACAACACTAGTAGGGCCATATAATAAGCAGTTTTTACAGTATATAATAAGTTACGCCTGTGGAGTGTCCCTATAAACCATGCATACGTGTGTGTGTGTGTGTGTGTGTGTTTTGTAGACAAAGACTGCCAACACTTTTGTCATAAAAAAACACTTTTTGATGACAGGCAGACTACCAAGAACACCAAAAACAAAATAATAATCTACCTCACCGCAAACTGTACTCTTGGCATATGGTCATGCGTCAGAAATGATGGGTGTGCTCACAAGCCTGGAGCAACGCAAAAACACTCCTTTCATGCACACTGTTATTCATGCACAATGCAAAAGGTTTGACTGCTGTTCAGGTACCAGAGCTCCTGCCAAAACACCAGTTGCAAATGTCAATATATTGATTCAACGAATTCAAGCGTTCAAAACGTATTCAAAGAACATCACTGAAGCTCTGGTAATCTGCTGAAAATAACCTTTTTTTCTGCACGCAACATTATGTTCCATTATGGTGGAACCAGTTTGATTAATGATTAATAAATTTATGTACTATAGCAAGGTTTTAAAATCTTTAAGTCTAAAATATTATTGGGAAAATATATAGCTTGTTGAACAAGTTCTTTTTTCAACTCATTGTAGTACTGTAATATTCACTTGTTTTATTTCATTTTTCACCATTTTAACATTATTTTAGCATATTTTTTTTAATCAAAGTATTAATAATTATTTTATTTACCTTAAAACGTTTAAAGCATTATTGTTTTATTATCATAGTAAATATCAGATTATTGAATCAAATGTTTATTCGTTTGTTTATCTGATGTGTAATGTGGGCTTTTAATTTAATGATTAAATATTTGATTATTTATTTTAGCCCCCCCCCCCCTTTATTAATTATGTTTAGTTATATTATTTATTAAAATTTTCCCTGCTATTTATCCAAACATTATCAAAGACACCTGAACACTCCTTTGCAAAACCCTGAGGGTCCTCATCCCAGAGCTTGAAAACCAATATACTACTAATCCAACGTTCCTCCAGTAACGTGGAGGTACCATTGTATGAGTGTGAAAACAAGGAAATACTCTGATTTAACATACAGAAATACCATAGTACTAGCATTCAAGGAGACCATGACAGGACAAGAGTATTTGTACTATAAAACATATTATACTTGCATGACTTCAGTGCTGTCAGTGATGTTCAGTAGTATTTTCTGTTCTACCCCAATGGTACGAACTAATTACCATATTCAGAGAGACATTCTTAGGAACTCAGTGCACTTTGCTGAAAATCACTGTGGTAAATCTCTGCACCAGGGTATTTGTACTATAAAACAATGGTATTTCAGTACTGTCAGTAGTAACTGTTTAACGTATTTTCTGTTATATCCCATGGTACAGAATGACTACCATGTTCACAGACAGTGACATTAGGGCATTATTAAGCACTTTCATTCGTAACGTAACAGTATTTTGTGTGAATGAACTGGTTGGTCCTCAAAAATAATGCATTAAGTGCATAAATCAAACAAACAATAGAATAGTACAGAATGTACTCCAAGATATCGCAATAATAAACACAAAACCAACCCTATTTTTCGGTCAGCATGATAACATAACTGTGTCAACTAACGCTAACGCGGTTTTGAGGCGGAAACTGCGGTTACCATGGTAAAATGTCATTCGGGTCGCCCGTACAGACTCACCTGTAGTATGAGCGCGTCTTCCCGAGACCTTCTTCTGCATGGACTCTCTGATATATCCCATCCTCCGCAAATACACACACGAGGAACCGCAAAAACCGACCCAGATCACGGTTCCGACCCAGCCACAGGTCTCAGAACAGCAGCAACAGTCCCGCTAATGCGGCGTCCCGTTTGCTTTGACACACGCACATGAATGAGCGGGGACGTGTTTTATTCGGGCTGCTCCGGTGCTCCAGAAATGGGTTTTTTATTCGGCACTGATCAGCTTCAGTTTCATTGACGATCCGCCGTAACGTCACCGATATTTTTTACGCCTTTCCAAGCGCGCGTCGCGTCAGCAGCCGCTCCATATCCCATTTAAACCGCAAAGAACCGTTGACGTACACCTGAATATATCATTTATTCCTTATGTCCGGTCGTGACATTCCCTCTTTGCGTGGTAAAATCTTACGACGAGTACAAATCCCGCACTGTCCGCCGCAGCAGCAGCAGGTCCCAGTCAGATTGATTGCTGTATATCTTTCCCTACGATCGTTTTTCCATATGAGAAACGTCGTTGCGATTCTCCATTCCAGTTGCGCGGGTTGAACGCGCATTTCGATTCGCGCCTGCGCTCTTGGCGTATCTCACGTCATCCATTGGTTGCCGTTAGAGGCGCTGCGCTACTAACGTACGACGCTGCAATTTTCCGCTGCTTAGGAACCACTGGCTCTCACTGCTGGGACGAGCTTAGTGAATACAGAGGAGACTCCGAAACACAGAGTGCTGGGCGTGGAGCGACGTCATTTCCTGAATTTCTTAAGTCTTTGTAATGAGCAGGGTGTGTCAATTTGAGCAGACCTAATCAATTAATCAATAAAGACATTTAGAATTTATTATATTAGGTAAGATAGATAGATAGGTATGGACAACTAGATAGATGGATGGATGGATGGATGGATGGATGGATGGATGGATGGATGGATAGATAGATAGATAGATAGATAGATAGATAGATAGATAGATAGATAGATAGATAGATAGATAGATAGATAGATAGATAGATAGATAGATAGATAGATAGATAGATAGATAGACAACTAGATAGACAGACAAACAGACAGACTGGGATGGATGGATGGAATTAGAAAGTGGTGGGTGGGTGGATGGATGGATGGATGGATGGATGGATGGATGGATGGATGGATGGATGGATGGATGGATGGATGGATGGATGGATGGATAGATAGATAGATAGATAGATAGATAGATAGATAGATAGATAGATAGATAGATAGATAGATAGATAGATAGATAGATAGATACATGATAGATAGACAGACAGACAGACAGACAGACAGACAGACAGATAGACAGATAGATAGATAGATAGATAGATAGATAGATAGATAGATAGATAGATAGATAGATAGATAGATAGATAGATAGATAGATAGATACAAGATAGATAGACAGACAGACAGACAGACAGACAGACAGACAGACAGACAGATAGATAGATAGATAGATAGATAGATAGATAGATAGATAGATAGATAGATAGATAGATAGATAGATAGATAGATAGATAGATAGATAGATAGGTGGATGGATGGATGGATGGATGGACGGACGGACGGACGGATAGACGGACGGTCAGGTAGGTAGGTAGGTAGGTAGATAGACAGACAGACAGACAGACTGGGATGGATGGATGGAATTAAAAAGTGGTGGTCGGATGGATGGATAGATGGATGGATAGATAGATAGATAGATAGATAGATAGATAGATAGATAGATAGATAGATAGATAGATAGATAGATAGATAGATAGATAGATAGATAGATAGATAGATACTACAGACAGACAAACAGACAGTAGGAGATGGATGGATGGATGGACGTACAGACAATCAGACAGACAGGGAACAAATAGATTAATCAATATGCATTTTATAATATTTAATATAGCTGCATGATATATAAATGCACTGAATAAGAGCATGATCTGATTCTTCAGTGATATTTGGTTCACGTGTGCAGGAATTTGACGTAACGCATCTTGATTTGCATTACAATGCCTCTAATCTTGTGGCGTATTTCTGGTCAGGTAAAACCTGTTCTTGCACCTAAAAAAATCCACACTCTTCATTTAAATAAAAAAGGAATGCTCTCGCCGCAGGATGATAACTGTTTGCTGTCACTTCAGACTGCAGCACTCATATGACGTTGCTAATAAAGGATGACATAAAACATCAGTTTGAGGAGAACGAAAGCACATACACACACACCCCAGCTTCACCGCATCCCCCTGTTCTCTCAGATGGAGTGGTACATCCCAGCGCCTCTCCTCCTCCTCCTCCTCTTGCTGCTGCTGCTGTGTCCTCCATCACTCCATTTCCTTCATTCTGCTCTCCTTGAGGACGGATTCAGGCCTTCCTGCAGAGCAAATCCCTCGCTTTCTCATCCTCCGTCTCTGAAAAGAGGAAAGGGTGAGCAAAGTCTGCAAGACTTCATAAAGAAGGTACGTTCCCTCCATCTTGATCTTTCTAAAATTACATATCTCAATCAATATAGGCAGAGAACGTGTTACGTTAATGCGGCCTGTACAGCCATTATAACTGCATCACTACATTCGTCAGATGCCCTAAAACCCATTTCTAGCACCCATTTTGATCTGTTCCTCATGGTTTAGTCTGGTATTTATTTTTAATGCACAGTGTTCCCCTCCCTAAACTGGTCCTGCATGACTCATGCAGCTTCACAGGGTTATTTCGGCATGCTGCGGATGAGCTACTGCATGTCATTCTGATGTTAAATGCCTCGGAAACGTTGTTGTTTGTGTTTATTGGGTGCGGATGTTTACGCATATAAAGCTGCATGACTGACATTAAGAGTTACTTGTCACTTTTTATCCTAAAAAAAAAAAAGATCTCTAACACACAAACACACACACACAAACACACACAAAAAGCTGCACATGCTTTTTAGGGAAGGAACGACTAATGGATTCTGCCCTTTGGCTGTCGGATACAAGCAAGTCAGTAGGCCACTGCATATAATGTCATTGCTATGAAGGTCAAAGGTTCAAATCTATCATAGGCATAATTCTGTATTTTTTAAATCAATTATTATTACATGAATTAAAATAGAAATTAAAAATAAATCAAAACTATGTATATATATATATATATATATATATATATATATATATATATATATATATATATATATATATATATATATATATATATATATATATATGCTTCATGGTAGAAACCGCTGTTATCTTCCTTTAACCCAAAACAAAAATCTTCTCCATAGTTCAATTATTCTTTATATTCCTTCATTTCTTTTAGGCTTAGTCCCTTTATTAATCAGGGGTCGCCACAGCGGAATGAACCGCCAACTTATTCAGCATGTGTTTTACACAGCGGATGTCTTTCCAGCCACAACCCATCACTGGGAAACATCCATACACATTCATTCACACTCATATACTACGGACAATTTAGCTTACCCAATTCACCTGTACCACTTGTGGGGGAAACCAGAGCACCCGGAGAAAACCCACGCGAACACGGGGAGAACATGCAAACTCCACACAAAAACGCCAACGCAAACGCAGCCTAGACTCAAACCAGCAATCTTCTTGCTGTGATGCGAATGTGCTACCCACTGCGCCACTGCGTCACCTATTCTTTATATTGAAAAAATGTAAATAAAGTAGTAAATTAGTAAAAGTTAACAAGTATAGTGTAGTAAATAAGGAAATAAACAAGGAAACGGTAGACACAATAGGTAACTATGGTAACAAACATGCGCACACTAGACTGTAAAAATATCTGTTAATCTGATATTATCAGTAAAAATTATATAATTATAACAAATAAAGTTGGAATAGAAAGTAGTAACAGTAAAGAGTAAATAAACAAGGAACTGGTAGACACAATAGTTAACCATGGTAACAAACATGCACACACTAGGGGCCCTATCATACAAGGCGTAAGATGTGTTTGAGGCGATTTGTTGCTATTTTCAGACCAGCGCCACCCTAATTTTCATGTTTTGTGCCACGATGATTAAATAGCAAACCCATTTGCTCCACTTTGTGGACTCATGGGTGTGCTGGTCTATAAAGGAGGTGTGTTAAGGTGCATTGTTGGCATGCTGCATTTTTGAGAAACTGAAATAGACTGTGACACAGACTAACTAAAAGCTAAGGTCGTAAGGCATGCGGCAAACAGAGACAAAAAGGCAAGCAAGGCTAGGGTCAAAACACGGAAAAACAGGACAAGGAAAACGCGTTATAGAGCTACTTTACAGATAACAAGACTCTGCAATGTATATGAGTGTGTGTGCTGCTTAAATAGTGTGTGTAATCAGTCGAAGCAGGTGTGTGTGTGAGCGGAGTGCATGTATGAAAATGTAGTCCAGAAATGGCGGATTTGTAGTCCGTAAGTATTGTATGTGAGATCCAGCGATCTAAAGAGTTATGATCGCTGGTGATCGTGACAAGTGGAGTGCGTACAACACCGTTTCCTTACTCCACGAAAAGTAAAGGAGTAAAGTAAAGATTAAAAGTAAAGTAAAGAGAAAGAAAAAAAAAGCTGAATGAAGGAGGCTCATTCTTTATTGTCGCGCTGCAGAATGTCTGTTAAATGTCTTGTTTCTCACCAGTGAAGCATTCAGTTTTTCTATTTAGTTTTTCCACTTAAAGTCCGCCATGTAAATAGCAAATGCACCATGGCATGACACAACTGACTCTTAAAGGGAATGGGAGATGAGACTCTGATTGGTTTAATGCATGTTATGCTCAAAACACACCCATAACTCATTAAGAGAATAAGCACAACTCTGTTAGACCATGCGTCCGGACGCAAAGTGTATTTTTCCACCCTTAAAATAGCAAAAGTGGATTTAGACACGCCTTTACTGCTTTTGCGCCATGCGCTTTAGACTTTGTACCTAGATTGTTAAAATAGAGCCCTAGAATGTAAAAATATTTGTTTATCTGTTATCATCTGTTTAAAAGTATATTATTATTAGAAATAAAGTAGAAATAGAAAATAGTACCAGTAAACAGTAAATAAACAAGGAACAGGTAGACACAATAGTTTCCTACTGGCAACAACCAGGCATATTGTTTCAACTAATTTAAAAAAATGTATACAAAACTGCTAATTAATGGATATTTTACAGTATTTTAAGAGGCAATAATAATGCAATACCTTGATTAAAAGAGGTTTTCATAATGCCGTTCTTCTGGATTTCTATTCATCAAACAATTCTGCATAAACATGGAGCGCAGTTTGCACAAACATATATTAGCCATAACAGTGATGATAATTTTAACAAATGTTTCTTGAACTTATGAATCTGGAGAATCACTTAGTACTGAAGATTGGAGTAATGGTGCTACAATAATTCAAAATTACGTTTTAAAATGCATCGTGATACAAATCATCAATTAAAATGTTATTAATATTTTTTTAATTAATTTTAACATTTTTAACTATTTTAATAAAATAAATACAGCCATGTAAAGCACTTTTTTTTTAAATCGTACTGACTGCAATATTTATCAAAGTTTTAAATCTAAAATCTCTCCCTCTTCTACTGTTTCCCCCTTTAAGAAGTACCGGACCTGCTAGACTCCTCGGCTTCAATCCCACATGGAAGCAAAAGCCAAAGGAGCGCCAAAGTCTGCCTCCAAAGCAGAGAAGAAGGAGGCAGCACCACCACCGGCAAAACCAGACCCAGTCCCAGCCGAACCCACCGAACCTGAAAAACCAGCAGAAGATGGATCGACCAACCAACAGGGGGCAGCAGAGTCCGCAGGATCCTGCTGTGAAACCTTAGAAAGTTTGAAACCTTTCCTGATTGGAGGAGCCGTCATCGCCCTTGGCGCCGTATTGGTTGGCGTAATCTTACTAGCCAAGAAAAACTGACCCGAGACCTGTGATTGTTTGCAAAATATTGGTTGATTAGTTCACAGACTATTAAAGTTTATATCTGTATACATATATAGCTATATATATAAAAAGGGTTGGGGAGTCACTAGGCGATATTATTTTATGCTGTACTTTAATTTCAATGCTTGTGGTGATGTTTCCAACAGCTATTAAAGCAAGCTAGAGATTTAGGCCAAACACTTTTTCATATCACACAGCTGTAGCTCGTGCATATTTACATTTTCATCATAGTCACTCTGCCTGTTGGTTCACTGCTCAAAAAAATAAAATAAATAAAAATCATCTATGACACATGAATACAGTTCCAGAGCAATGTTCAGTCCCACAACTGCCAAAACAATATTAGGATGCACGATTCAAGGTTAACACTACAAGAGTTTTCTGAAGCAAGTCGTTTAATGGGATTTATGCGATACTAGTGGTGTGCGATATTGTCTAAAATGATTCTTGTTCATTTTTTGAGGATGTTTTTCTGATAATTATTAAAGAGTCTTTTGCAGAGTGTGTTTTTGTGCTAGTCTAGTTAGAAAACTAGGATAAAGCAAAAAAAGAGTCAGTCGTTGAATTATTCACTCAACCGTTTCGATGGAAACTAATGATTCATGTATTTTTAATGAATCACTGAATCAGTGCCTCCATTGATTTGTTTAAAAAGAGAGAAACTAAGAAACTGAACACCACAGATATTTGCCTCAGGATTTTTTGTTTTTGTTTACTTTGATACTTAACTATATCTAAATATCAAATCAACAACAACAAAAAAAAACACTCGTACAACATTATTTATCCCTTTCATGACGAATTCTAAAGCAATTCTGATTCGAGTCCAATAGGATTCATCACACAGTGAATGTTTTGGACTTACAAGACATGCTTTGTTCGTTTTTTGTAAAGAGAATAACACTCAACAATAGAAACTAACCATGGTTATACTAACCATGGTTATAAAAACCAAGGTAACCACAATTTCATCATAGTTTTGCTACAATAACTGTAGTATTTGGTAGTCAATCAATGCGACAAAAACACTTACTACATTTTTACTATAACAAAATTAGTTATTTTTTAGTAAATTACATGTATTATCAGTTATATATTTAGTAAATAAATATCGCACACCCCTACTTTATAAATAAAAACAGTTGGTTTCATAATCAAAAACTAGTCCAACTGGAATTAGCCTTGTATTGCTGAAAGAATGTGTAAAGTAGAAATGTAAAGAAATATTACGATGTATATTTTATGTATGAGCTGCTCGTATCGCTTCATTTCCAAACCAAAAACAAGTCATAAAAACATTCGTACCGTAGTAGCCGATCATCTCAAAGTCTTAGTTTCTTGTCGGAACGATGCGATTTCCGAAAGTGGGCCAATGGAAGTAGACATGTGACGCAACATAGCTAGATATTATTATGGCGGCTAAAACGGCTTCAATTTCACAGACACACTACGACGACCGCTCGTCACGACAGAAATATTCCCTAAATGCATGCAGACACGGACAATATGCACTCACACGTCACATGATGAACATACTGTTACAGAAAATGACCTTTTCTTTAAAGTGCGTATATAATGCAATAATTCAAATAGAACTCTGTATTTAACGGAAAGAAGACCATTTATTAGTTGTGATATTGACGATGAGGATGTTGACTCAGCAACATGGTGGTTGTCTTGATGGTGATGATGATGATGAAGGATGATTATGATTTTATTTGTTGGATTTAATGTAGTTTACCTTTCCCTCTACTGTGCCATATGTGATTATTTTGCACACAACCTCGCCTGCTGCCTTTCCGCTGTGTGAAATAAAATAAGATGGCTCCCTTGTGACTTGATGACCTTATTAAAGGACAATGAACCACATTTTCCCAGACTCTGTGTTGTCTTTTATTATTATTATTCACAAGCTTTTGTTTTTGAGGGCTTTTAATAACTTTTAATAGCTTTTAATAACTTAATGACAATTTATTTTCAAATTTGTCACATATTTTGGTAGTTTATTATTATTTTATTGATAATACTTCTGCAATCCTAGAAAAATTGAGACTGTGAAAAGAATATTACTGCCTTAAATTTTAAGTAAAACTGACTAAAGTTATCAAGTTAAACTTTGCATCACTTAAAAACCCAGATTTACTCATTAAAATATGTTAAAAGTCACAAAGAAGGTTTTTGTTGTAATATCTTTTTGACATATTACTTTTTCTCAGTGTAGTAAAGTTAGTACAGAATGTTACACTCTTACTATATGATCTGCTTTCTAAAGCCAAGAAATTGTTATATTTAGTGACTGCCTTATAATTCATTCATTCATTTTCCTTCGGCTTAGTCGCTTTATTTATCAGGGGACACCACAGCTGAATGAACTGCTAACTTATCCAGCATATGTTGTATGCAGTGGATGCACAATCATTCACACTCATACACTATGGACAATGGGGTATATGCCGAGCTAATGTGTTTCCCATGCGGATACACTTCCGGTGACCTGTTATCGAATTTTTTTTTTCTATTTTATATGGTTCCTTAAAGTATTGATGTTGCAATGTAATTCAAATACAATCAGTTAAACAGACTTTGGCATTCATTTAGTTGCTCAAGCGTATAACGAGACAAAAAGCCGTTTACTCGTACGCGCCCGTCAGAATCGGCAGGTTAGCGCAGAAGCTCCATTGAATATACTGGGGTAAAATAAATGCTCATATTATAAAGACATAGCGGGGAAAATGTAATTTACTGCAGTGCTTCTTGTACAATGCGAGTCCCACTTTATATCGGATATCACTCAGCCAGGGAGATCGCTGATTTTTAAAGAAAACAGACCTTAAACGCGCCGATTTTGCAATGGCATACAGTACGCCGGAAACAATTAACCCAGGTTACTGGCAAATTAAAAGTCCTATTAGCTTTCTCAATTCACCTATAGCGCATGTCTTTGGACTATGGGGGAAACCAGAGCACGCCAACTGACCCAGCCGAGGCTTGAACCAGCGACCTTCCTGCTATGAGGTCACAGTGCTAACCACTGAGCAAAATTAAATTAATTAAATAAATGCTTTAATTAAGTGTTTAAATTTATAGGATGTAGGGACTAATTTGAAAAAAGCTAACATGATTAAAGCTAAATAAACGGTTAGCGTTTATTAAATGTGACATTCTAACTCATTCAGCTGCTTTGTTAAACCATAAAAAATCATTTTAGTATTTGTGTCTAGACACACAACACACGCAAAGGCTACATACACTCGAAAGAATGACGTTTGTTCAAACAACTTATATAAAATGAGCTGAAACAACACAATTCTTGATGTTTTTAGGGGGACAACTTAATTGTTTAATGTTCAATCCACTTAAATTTGTAAAAACTAACAAGGTAACTTAAGTGCTTCATGTTGTCTCAACACAAATCGAATGTGTGAAGTCCAGTATGTTTTTACCATAGACTGTAAAAGATATAGACGTAGTATTCGTGACGTCACCCATAGGTTTCTGAAGAACGCAAAAGAAGCTAAATCTAGGTGTGGCTAACCATCGCCATTTTGTTCCCATGTCATTGCACCGACCGAGGAATACAATTCATTCATTTTCTTGTCTGCTTAGTCCCTTTATTAATCCGGGGTTGCCACAGCGGAATTAATCGCCAACTTATCCAGCACGTTTTTACGCAGCGGATGCCCTTCCAGTCGCAAACCATCTCTGGGAAACATCCACACACACACTCATACACTACGGACAATTTAGCCTTCCCAATTCACCTGTACCGCATGTCTTTGGACTGTGGGGGAAACCGGAGCACCCGGAGGAAACCCACGTGAATGCAGGGTGAACATGCAAACTCCACACAGAAACGCCAACTAAGCCGAGGTTCGAACCAGCGACCTTCTTGCTGTAAGCACTACCTACTGTGTCACTGCGTCGCCCCGAGGGATACCAAACAAGGGCAAAGAGTTAAAAGAAAGTATTTGTTATTACTCAGAATCTTACATAAATCTAAAGAATTTATCTTAAACTTTTTTATCTTGTTTGGAATCTTTTTTTATACATAAGCAAAAATGCATGGCTTCAGTTTTCGACATTTTCAGATTGAAGTTGACTCACTGCTCAAATGTTTCCGTATAACAACAAAAAATGTATCAGATTCTTGGTTCTATATAAATAACTGTTGTCTATTGACTCTAATTTGAGTTAGATAGCTTTCCTTAATGCTCCTAATTTATTTATTTTTATACACTTTTATACAATTGTATTTTACTTACCCCTTTCTTTGTTTTGTTAGTCTTTTTTCCTTCTGCTGCTTATGTAGTTTGCATTTTTCCTCTTTTGTATCTCTCTTATATTGATCTCCTGATTGTGGTTGTATATTTTCATTCTTAAATAACTAAAAAAAAAAAAAAAAAAAAAAAAAAACAAGGGCAAAGAGGCAGAGCGTGAGCGGAGTTACAGACACCAGCTAGCATTTTCCTTCAACCCTTGGCTTACACCTTCATAACCTGCGACTTGTTTGCGTTCTGACCACATGTGCTTGGTTGTATATATCAATAAAGTGTTTAGACTTTTAAAACACTGTTTTAATACACTGAGCCACTAAACATGTTCTTATGACGTTTTTCTACAGAAGGGAAAACACAAATTATATCCAAACACTTCAAATATAGTTTGAATTACTAAACGCAAGGCTGGTTATGAAATCCAGGCATAACACTATGACAGGTATGACAACGCTTCAGATGACTGTTAGCCAACAGTTAATCAATCTGTCAGATTCTGGAGTGCATTACAGCTATAATGAATATAATAAATGAACTTAAAAAAACAAATACATTTATAGAGATGGGATATAAATATATAATTTTACTCACCTGGGAAATTAAGGCCACTTTAACAGTTTGTGAGCACAATTAAGTGCACACAGCATGCCATACTATCTGATAATTGTAGGAAATAATTCCAAAAGACAAATGACTGTGTAAAGCCAAAAAAAAAACAATAATAAAAATACAATGTATATGCCAAGTTCAGCAGCTAATCAGTCGGAATCAGCTGAGGTGAAGTGACATGACCAGCAAAAGTCACTCAAGTGGCCACTCCCTTAATTATGCAGACTTAATTAAACCTAATAAATGCTAAACGGATGAGTAATAAAAAAATTCAGCCCCTCACAGTTGTCATGAAGAGTAATATTAGCTATAAGCACCAAAACCATCTATTGTACCAGGCTTTAAACATGTTTTTATCAGCTGTAAAATTGGCCAGTTTAGCATTGCAGTCAGAGAACATGTGGAGTTGCTGGAGCAAGCCCCCAGAGGAGAGTCTATGTATTTTGTATTGGCTTCCCAATGGAGAGCCGGAGGTTGCTGCTTGGTTTTTACAGCGTACATAAGACGCCCTTATTCTGAAGTGTTGTAAAAGCTAAAATATAAGATGGTTTTGGGATATACATAATAATCATATTGCTATTAGCATTATATGTGCATAATATGTGTTATACATGTAGAGCTTTGCATGGTCAAGCACCCCAATATATTCAAGATCTATGGAACTCTCTCCCTATAGCACTGAGAACTCTGGGATCAGTTGATCTTTTTAAAAAGCATTTAAAGACGCATTGTTTTGGTCAAGCATTTAATTCATAGTATTAGTGTTTCTGTATTTGGATTTTTTACTTGTTTTAATGTGTTTTAACATGTTTTCTTTTATTGATATGTGTTCTTTTACTTGTTTTCTCTAATTGTAAAGCTATTTGTTACTCAACGTCTGGGAAAGGTGCTACATAAATAAATATTTTCTTGCTTACTTACTTTTACTTTTTAAAGATTATACCTCACACATTTTGAAGGAGTTTTCTCAACACCAGCCCGCCACTAAAACAAAAGAAGAAGAAAGTTTTCGTATGTTGCTAATTTCGCTTCACGGAACGTTTCCTATAACCTTGTTTTCACCCGAGCGTGTTAGAAAGACGCAACACGGAAGTGTATCTGTTATAAGCCGCGCAAGAGGAACGTGTGTAGCGTGCGAGATTGTTTTGGTAATGTTTTGTAATTTGCTCGCTTCTTTAGTCAAAATGAGAGGGTGTAATATTTGGGGTTTAGTTTTGAGTTCGCATATAAGGAAATAATCTCGAGCTGAACCGCACTGTCACGTATTCAGTGTTACTGTATGTTGCTGTAGACTGCTTCAGTGTTACATTCTTGTGTACCTTACATTTATAGCTCAACATCTATTAAGTTACTGAGTTTTGTGTTACTTGTATTCGTTATTACGCAGTCTGAATTGCACAAACTTGTGTGTTATTAAATAAACCTCTACATTTTTTTTTTCAATTCAGGCAACTCGTCCTTCATCATGATCATCCCTGTTCGCTGCTTCACTTGTGGGAAAATTGTTGGGAACAAATGGGAGGCGTATTTGGGTCTCCTTCAAGCGGAGTATACAGAAGGGTACGTTTATGAAACTAAAATGTGTCCTAAATTCGTTTGTTTATTTATTTATTTGTTTGTTTGGCTAAGGAGTAAAGCACTCCTTACTAGTCCTCTTTACTAGTCAAAATATTGTGTTTGGGGTGCTCATGCGGACCGGTTGACTGGCAGCACGAAATTTGCCAGATTAATATGATTAATGTTATTATACAGATTAATATTATTATTAACAAAATAAAGCCAGCATTGGCCTTACATATAAGCATTAAACCAAACTGAATTTAAACAGATTTATTAAAAACCTGAAAAACGACTCTAAGTTAAAGATTAATTGTGATTAGCCACATCCAAAATAAAAGTTTGTTTTGACATAAGCAATACTTGTGCATTATATATATTTATATAATTATTGTGTATGTGGAATACACTCATGCATAAAGGTATAGA